GAGTGATATGTTTTTACATCGTGAATCGTTTTTCGTAATAGCAATGAACCTGAAAGTGTTTCTATTAAAACAACATTACCTTACGAGTTTACTTGAGATTAAATGTGGACTCTTAACTCATATAAATTGTTCTTAACATGCTCAAGGACCCGTGAGGGTAGAATAGGTCTTCAGTAAGCCATTTCAGAAACTAGATGTTAGTCAAGCAAACACCTACATTCAACAGGTAGGTGGAGACTGGGTGAAGATAGAAGGGAAGTAACTCTGATCTTTGTTCGATATACGCCTGGTCCAAGCTCGCCCAACATTCTTCTACTACTATTATATCATTCAACACAATTGGGAACATTTTGTGAATAACTACAAACGTGTCTCTTCCAGCAAGGCGTATTTTGTATTGAAAATGGAAAAGTAAAGGTTATCAGTGTTTATTTTTTATCCTACTGCTACTCTTTCGGCAGTGTATCGCGGAATCGATTTCCTTTGTCGGATCATGGTCCGGTAATTATAATACCTACTTTTCTCTTCTGGAAATCTCGTGATCAAGCTACGATTGGCAGTTAGGATGTCGAGTTTAAATCGACTTGCTGTTCCTTTTGGCGATGTAGTGTGTAAGTCCACTGATGGGATCATTCAGGTATTCCAACACCCATTTTGTTATGATTACTTGTTTCCTATGTCCAGTTCTATCAGAGTGGAAATGGATACAAAAATAGTCCATATGATCCCCGTATGCAACACAGCATTTCAAATTCATTGTCCTCTTCATTAATAGATAACCAATCTTTAAAATAGGTTGCATAATTTCAAAGTATATCTGTTGTTTGCGATTGACTCTTAAAAACATGACAATTGACTGGAGTTTTATTGGTTTTATTTTGTATTTTGAAAGTTTTTGTTGTTCAGATGTCTCGCCAAACATTTCCTTCAGAGAGAAACATTTTTCGTTAGGTTTCCTTTGACATTCAGCATACTCCGTTTCTGAAAAACGATAACTGTTGGTTGGCATTCTGAAATTGTCCAGATATGGGTTGCTTGGCATTACGTCCGCTGGGCGCTGCATTGCTTTGGATCACGCATGCAGAATATGCCAGAAAAACAACCGATATTGGCTCTGGATTGTTTAATCATCTCCGCCACAAAGAAGTTGGTGGATATCGCAATGGCTTCTGTCAGTGCATACCGAAACCGTTTCCGGAGCATCAACCAAAAACTGAACTGGTTCCGTTTGGTAATTCGGATTTTTATTATTTTGTTATATTTTGTATTTTTAAGGCAATAACAAGGTATTTTGTGGGGAATAACTAATAAACCATTCAATATTTCATGATGAAACATTGTGTACACGCCATAGCAATATGCAGTTTTTGCAAGAATTGGTTTCATAAATAGTAACATCTTGGAATCGAACTCGGGTTTTCGCGTGTGCAGCGAACGCTTTATGGGTTGGTTGTTTGTTGTTTAACGCCGCACTCAGCTTTAACCAATATATATAGGCAGCTCCGCCCCATCGTTCTTCTTTGTGATAATATAAACACGTCATGACAACATCCGTCAGAGTGGCATTTCAGAACACATATTTGCACGGTCAGCTAACTTCGTCGTTATTTCAATTATCATTTCCCGGAGGTTTGATGATTGTAACTAAAGTTCATGAAAGTTTCTAAGTAACGATACAGTATATTTTGCACCGGGATCTGTAACGACACGGGGCGGTCGGGTAGCCTAGTGGTTAAAGCGTTCGCTCGTCACACCGAAGACCCGGGTTCGATTCCCGACATGGCTACAGTGTGTGAAGCCCATTTCTGGTGTCCCCCACCGTGATATTGCTTGAATATTGCTTAAAAACGGCGTAAAGCCACACTCACTCACTGTAAAACACATGCATATTTCATTGGGCATTCACGCACTCCAGTAAGTTTTGTTTGTTATTTAACGCCGCACTCAGCAATATTCCAGCAATATTGGGATACGATGACATGCATCAACCAAGTCAGCCTGACCATCCGATTCCTCTAGTCGCCTTTTACGGCAAGCATGGGTTGCTGAAGACATATTCTACCACGGGCCTAAACCAGTAAGTGGAAACGCCAGGCCAGACTCGAGGTCATATTTTATCGTTAAAGAGATGTCATTTGAACTAACAAAGGCGCCAACACCGTCAGATAAGAAATACAACCATGCCCTCCACGTCTAATCTGGGTTTTTTTATCGTTTGCAACATCGAACCGACACCTTGGTGAATCATTGAGACTCTACCATAGCATGTTGTTAGAAGGGACCCGTCAAGATCCGGGGTAGAATAGGTCTTCAGCAACCTATGCTTGCTGTAAAAGACGAATATGCTTGTCGTAAGAGGCGACTAACGGGATCGGGTGGCCAGGCTCGCTGACTTGGTTGATGCATGTCATCGTATCCCAATTGCGTGAATCGATGCTCATAATGTCAATCACTGGATTGTCTGGTCCTGGTCCAGACTGACTCGATTATTTACAACCCGCCGTCATATAGCTGGATTATTGCTGAGTACTTTTTACGTGTTGGTGTGTATTTAATATCATTCAAATTACAATGTTGCTTTACCTCATAGAAATCAAAGGAAACACGTACAGTGGTGACCTAGTCGTATTAAGCGACGCCATCCGTTGTGCAGAGTTCCTTCCCTTTGTTCTGACATAACAAGATCATAACACGAATCCAAAACTTTTTGGTTCGAATCCATCATTCGCCAAGACAATGATTCTGTCTGAAGTTGGACTTCGATAAATCCATTACAGTTTCGAGGCTTTTGTGACACTTGGCCCACAGATCAGAGCATGTTGTACAAGAGTATTAGAGTGTAACCCGATTGAAAAGCCTGGCTCCGGACCCTCATTGTGCTCTTTGTGCTGCGAAAACGCTTGTGCTCATTTGTCACCCCCGTCCCTTTCCGTCACCTGCCATATTATTTGTCACGGAAAGTCACGTGGCTGCGAATGTGTTTATTCTCTAGACAGCTGAAGCAGTGTTATTCGTAACAGTTTTCTGAAACCTCTATGGGACTTATGGGCAGTGACTATTGAATAGAAAGTGTATGTATTTGTATATTTGTTTAAACAATTGTTTATAACATGTCATATTTGGTCTAGTTTATGTTAAAATTCCCAATGTGGCGTTAGTTGTTCAGTTTTAGTTATTATTTAAACCCTGAAATGCATGGCATTTGTCAGAAAGTTTACCGCAGTATTGTGAGGGAGACAGTGCCTTACGTGTCGGTTAGGACCGCCTCCGTGGTCTGGTGGTAGAGCGTCCGCCCGGAGAACGGAAGGTCCGGGGTTCGATCCCCGGCCGCGTCATACCAAAAGACGTTAAAAGATGGCACTTGTTGTTACCCTGTCTGGCGCACGGCATTAAGGGGCTAAAACAAGGACTGGTCGGCTGAGTGTCTGAGTAGGGTATTCACAACACACACACGTGCATGCACGTCGCTATATAAGTGAAATAATCTTGGACGCGACGTTAAACCATATTTCACCCCACCTCACCTTACGTGTCGGTTACATGTAATTTGTTTGCTATTTTAACAAAGACATAATAATCTGATGCCTCCCTTCGATGTATTTCTGCTACTTTCTCCTGGTGATGATGATATGGGTGTACAGGATTAATATGGAGAAATGAAAAGAAATACATGTTACAAATACGTGTATTGTCAATTTGTTTCAAAGTGATGTTTCATCTTTTGGTTTAGCATCAGGTATATTGTGCATATGGAATCATACATTAAAAATAGCAAGTATATTTTAAGACGCCTTGAATTCAGCATCTAACGAAGACATTTCTTTTCGCACACACCACCTTTGAAAGATATGTTATGTACGCTTCAGTGACTATCAAGAAATATATAAAATATGGGTAAGTTAACGTACCCGAAATGGTGTACAACCTTGTATTATATCTGGGAATATCTGCGGTAATACATGTGTGGTCGGGTCTTAATTCATCTGGGATTTTACATCTTATCTTTATACTGACATGTATTATTTTTTTTAGTGTCCCATATCAGAATAGGCTTGACGTCACTTGTCATGACTGTTTGGAGCTTGAAATGAAAAGATGTATTACTTTGTTCACCAATTGGTCGTGGAAAAATCAAGAACACTTGAAATTGCATCATTTTTTATACAAAGAGCTGGGGAAAAAACAAGAAAAGCAATATTCTTGGTGCCACACTGGGGTACCAAGGGAGGAGTGGGGTGGCAGGGAGTGGTCAGAGATATGCCTTATCAGTAGCACTGGCATGTAAACAGAAATGAAGGTTGACTTTGACAAGATTACAGAAATTCCAATAAATTACAGCTCTGCGTCCTGAAATCAGAGACCATATAATAGAATCTATAATATGGTCTCTGCTGAAATTAAGGATATTTCTCGGCTCCATTTGTATTTTAATCTTTGTAATTTGTAGATATATATTTTTAAATAAGATAACTTTTTTTCTGGGACTGAATGTCAGTCCAGACCCCATCGCGGCTCTTGGGTATAAGGCTGGCGACTGTCAGTAGTCGAGTCTGGACCAGACAATCCAGTACGTGATTGATATGTTGATGCTATTAGAATTAAATATCTTCGAATGACATGTAACACTTATGTAAATATAAAAACATTTAAAAAATAATTGCCACAAACGAGACAGAACACAAAACATCACAATGCCTGTTTATTTGTCATGCTATGAAAGAAGAAAGTATTTGTCACACGCTGTTCACAATGATATTACCACTACCATACCACTTGTAAATTGTTCATACTGAATAACGTATTGATTAATATTAAGAGAAACTAATATAAGAAAACCGTCGAGGTACGATGACCAAGCTTGACTATCCGATCCATTTATTCGCCTCATGCCACCATCATATTTCTGAAGAAATGCACGTCCATCGACGACATCTCCGCAAGCTCCTCACAGCGATCGGCCGTTCGCGGAGCTATCCGAGAGTGTAACGAACGTGTCGACGCGCTGGGAAGGAGCCTGAACATCTTCGGATTGAAGGGCGGTAACTCTTATTCGAATAACATTTGCAGCTGTCCGGAAGCGAATGACTCGACTGAGGATAAGTACTACACAGACAACATGGCGTACGAAGTATGTTTTTGTATAGCGATCATCAAGAATTTTTTCTATTATTTGACAGTAGTACATTTTCTGTCGTTAACATATATGTCTTCGAGTTCCGTCTTGAAATTGTTTGAAGAAAAGCGAATACTGTTTCATGTCGGACCACAGCTTTTCCCTAAATTACATATTTATTCTTTTGTCATATTATGGTTCAGAATATCGTACAAACGACGTTTCGTTTTAAACTAAGTAATCATTTAATCTTCCGATTCATTTATAAACTGTTAACCTCTTACTCTGTCAACAAACTAATTGGAAAGAATTTGAAACTTAAACATATTAAATAGACTGAATTGCGTTTGTCACAGCGTGATCAATGTAATGTTTGGCCTGTAGCCATTGTAGCAAACATTTCAGAAATGGGTTTACCATCTTCATGCTCGGAAAGGTGACAGACATATTTGCAAAACATTTTGACTGAGTTTGAGAAATATTCTCCTATTGGGGTATTGTATATTTACACTCTGATACACACATAGCTCAATCATTGGCACCTGATCCTACCTTCAAAACTTTGACCATAACTATAATTTTCATAACAATTAACTATGTTTCTTCCAGAAACCTATTTCAGACCACAGGAGGAAGTGGGATCGAGATGAGTATGAGAAAATTGCAGCAGAACGTCTCTTGGCAAAAGAACTAGATGATGAAGATGATGAAGTTCCCGTCAAGAGGGAGCTCCTCAAGCCAAGAGAGTACAAGGTTTGTATTGATTTAGTATATCAAAGAAATGATTTATATAATATCTTCAAACCAAACAATAATTAGACAACAGTTTTGTCAACATGACCATAACTTCACGGTTGTGTTTACACTACATTCCTCCACCACCAAGGCATATATATACAATATAAGGCTATATTTGGTTAACTGTTAGACAGCTAATGAAATGAGGCCTTCTAGAACTCCTTGAAGTCAATTAAGCTCTTCTCTGAACTGAGTGAACCCTACTATGATAAATCATGTTGCAATACCATGCAATACACATTTTTGCAATATGTACTTTGGTCAAATAATCTTTGTTATGCATAAATGTGTACTTTTCAAATAGTGAAATAAAAACTATAATACTTCAGGACTGAGGGCATGGTTGAATATTTAAATGATTATGTTGTACAAATGACACAAAACAAATAACAGCTGCTTCACTCAATAATCCAGACTTCAGATTGCAAGAGCAGGTATGACTGTATGGATAAACAAGACTACGTATTATGTCCTCAATATAGAATATTAATGTAAACAGTGCGATGCATGTGCTGATATGATTGGAACCAATGCCTCAAGATGATAGATATGATATACATGTAATTATATATTTATTCTTCTGTGACTATTGGAAAGTATACATATTGTGATATGTGTATTGCTGACAGCTTATTGCATAATGGCAGTCTACTGGATATGTTGCGCACCCCTAAAATGTACTGTTGAAGCAATGTGTAGAGCAGTTAGCACAAGGAACATGTTACACACAATGTCTTGCAGGAAACATTGCCATTTGTATGATGGAACCAGGCCAGTGCTTGATATGTTAGTTAAAGATAGTAAATACACTTCTTGTTAGTACAATGTATTCACGGGAGATGGGAGAACATATAGACTATGTGTTGACATTTGCTGATAGCATCCCTCAACAGACAACACTTATGAAATTATTGTGCATGTACAATTGCCAATTAGTATGTACACCTTTTTCAAAAAAGCAGCAATAGAAATTGGCAATAGTCCTATAGTACTTGCCAATCTACCCAATAGTTAAGGCTTTGTAAGGACGTGTAGAAATTTGCAATTTTTAAGGGTATTGTTATGTTATCATTTAAAGAACTAGTGGACTAAACATGTTAGTTCTATCACTGAAATGTAGGCTATGATAAGAAATTTACTGCTGCTGTTGGTCAAAGTCCAGCCTAGTTCCAGTGTAAGTGTATTACATTTACAGCCCTGTAATTTAAGTCACCAGAATCAGCTGGGAATTTAATTAAATCTTGAACATCAACAGTCTTTTTGGTTTATCTTTAAAATGTATGGAAACATATCTATATTGTTTGGGTGTCTTTGTATGACTTTTAAGTACTTGTTTGTATAGTTTTATTGTTGATTAGTGCCCCATGGGGACTCGGGAGGAACTGGCTCAAGTGACCTGGATGGTCAGGGGTCATTGGACAATGTTGGCGTAGTGCTGTGATTATAACAGCTGTTATGTGCATTGATAAACGGGAACTAGGCTCAAACACTTGGCTGTTTGCAGGTTACTGTGCCACAAATGTGTGGATTGTTGTTCATGCTTTCACTCACTTGTTTTTCACCTGACGTCATAGCTCCATGATATTGCTGCTGTGTCTTTGTCGTCACCCTAATCATGACCCTCTGTGATTATTAATTAAGAATTGACTTTCACTTTGTGTGAGCTCGTGGGAGTATGAACCTTCATAGAGTTAAGGCCAAACTGTATCATGCAGTCAAACTCTCTGACGTTTCTTAATGTATACTAAAACGTTGAGTTCAAGATTAAAGGCTCTACATTATCAGAAAGAGGGCTTCTGTATGTAATTGTGCTTGGGAATTCCCAGGAGTTCCCCCAGGAATGTGAAAGTAGTCTGTCAGTGTTTACGTCATTACAAGAACATGGTCAAACACGTCATATGAACATCAAATTGTGTCGTTCATACACTTATGAACGACCTCTCATCCAATGGAAAAGCCATACATCGTGTAAACTTCAAATTACACAATTATCACTCCTTTGCTTGCATTTGCTGTTTATTGATGTCCTTTCATTGCACTGAGATTTTATGTCCCGTTTCAGGTTGATCTTGATTCAAAACTTGGCAAATCCACAGTCATCACAAAAACAACTCCAGCATCGCAGCAAGGAGGGTAAGAGGTTCACCATATGCTTGTCAGATATATTCCTTATCTCATAAACCTGCTGCCACTTTTGCCAATTGTATTGTATCTTCCTAGCTCATAATAGCCTTGTGAGATGTGAGACCTGCTCCGAGGTTTTACATTTTAAGATCTAAGACCTAGGTTTTACATTTTGAATTGTAAGACCTAGGTTTTACCATTAAAGTTTTATAAACTGGCATTACGTAAGTAATGTGTTTTTTTCCAAAATTGTGAACAGGAATTTAGTGTTGTACAGTGAACACAACATCAAACCAGGAAACATCTAACAGATGAAGATGGGTGCATCTCCCCATGCCTGAGGACTTTAACAAATGATTGACTACATCAAAAGACCAACTGTTAGCTAATATAAACATGGCTGTGGTTTTATTGTAGTTGTGAAGGATCGTAGCCAAGGATGACAGTCAGCTTGCCTACAGCTTGCCAGTCTTGCTTGACAATGGTATAAGGATCTATACCGAAACGTCACTTTTTACAGTATTAAAGAAGTTATTAACCATAAATTGTGTCTACTTTGCCTACATCATGTTCATGAGTTGACAGACCCACTCCAGTGTCTGTATGATTAATCAAAACCATGCTGTATCATTATTGTTTATAACCTCAGGAATGTTGTAGAGATTCAGGGGATTCCCCAGTATCCTATGCATGTTGTGAGAGTGATCACGCTCAATGACTTGACTGATTGCGTGTCATTGTACCCCGATGGCAAAGGTCATTGCTCTTGCTTTCCATCACTGGTTTGCCTGTCCAGACTCAGATATTTCCAGGCTGGCAGGATGGAGCTTGAATACAGCGGACTTCAGCATTAAACAATGTTCGCACAATAATGTATTTTGAAAAAAAATTAAAAAATTTTGTGTCGATTCTTTTTTAAACACTTGTCAGCAGCAGTCGTGTAATGTTTCTTTTTCTATTTCAAATTTTCATTTCAGTTGTAATGTATATTTTTCTCTCATTTTAACTGAATAAAATATTCTGTGTTTTCAGGTACTACTGCAATGTATGTGATTGTGTTGTCAAAGATTCAATTAACTTCTTGGATCACATCAATGGAAAGAAACGTAAGTATTTCTTTTAAGGGCAGTTTTAATCTTATTACTCAGAGTAAACAAAACATGTTTGTTTTTAGATATATGTGTAGTAATTTTTTTTATTATGTTTTTAACTCAACTTTATCGATAATACCTTTCTATCATCAGTCGCACCTGTCAACTTCATGACATCAAGGAACCAATTGGGAAAATAGAAAGGACATTTAAAATTTGTTTTCCAATACCTGACCAATCCTTGTGTCTACAAAACGACGTCCTGATAAACTGAATTAACATTTGGCATGAAATCCAATTCTGACTTGCACTTGAAAATCAGTAAACGTACAATGATGCTATTTGTTTTAAAAATTAATGGAATCAAAATATTTTTTGACCCTCCAACAGTCAAGCAGATAGTTAAAGAAAGAATATAATCAAGACGATTTTTTAAATTATTTTTTTACGAACAACCTTTAAGCATCAACATCTGTTGACCTTAAAATAAAGGTGTGGTCTTAAGTGTGAAACAGGGGAAGTTTGGTATTTGAAAATATCACGTAACTTGTTTGCCAAAACACTAAAAAAATACTTTGATAATTTATTAAAGCTATTCTCACATGGTTGTGTGAGAGTTTCTATGTAAATGTTGTGTTGATTGGGTAACTCTGAAGTCAGGGGTCAAATCCCACGTGGGTACAATGTGTGAAGCTCATTTGTGGTGTCCCTTGCCATATTGCTAAAAGCGGCGTAAAACCCAACTCACTCACTCCTGCTGTTTATTTCCGTACCTCTCACAGATCAACGTAACCTGGGGATGTCCATGCGAATTGAGAGATCCTCCCTGGACCAGGTCAAGCAGAGGTTTGAGATGAATAAAAAGAAAAAAGAGGAAAAGAAGAAAGAATATGACTTTGAAGAGAGAATGAAGGAACTGAAAGAAGAGGTAATGATTGTGCCCTATTGTTTCTTTTCTCTGGAATATATCCTTGATGTTATCCAGAACATGATGGCTTGGACTGGTGCATTGTAAGACGGAAACGATGTACTGAAACTGTGTCCCAATTCATGGTCTTCCTTAGGATACATGATGCATAAAAACCTGTATCAGGATATATGACTAAACAAAATACCTATTTTTAGCTTTTTAACAAAAGAATAACCCTATCTAAACAGGGATAAACTTGAGCTTGAAAGGCCATCATCCAACAATTAAACTTGTTGTCATTTTTTCACTCATCTGACATACTTGAAGATCCGGGGTAGAATAGGTCTTCAGCAACCCATGCTTGCCGTAAAAGGCGACTATGCTTGTCGTAAGAGGTGACTAACGGGATCGGGTGGTCAGGCTCACGGATGCATGTCATCGTATCCCAATTGGTGAGTCCATGATCCATGGATATCAATCACTGGATTGTCTGGTCCAGACTCGATTATGTACTGACCACCATAGCTAGAATATTGCTAATTGCGGCGTTAAACAATAAACAAACAAATAAACAAAACAAACATCCGAAATACACAGGTATTTCATTTTATGGCCTTTGTGCTGTTCTGGCATATTGAGATACGTATAATATCATGAATAGTGTGTCCCGATACATAGCCTATCATGACTAGTGTACTAGTATGCAGATATGTATCGTATTGTAGCCTTCTATATTGTCGCAGCCCTAGTAAATTCAAGGCCTGTTGGCAGAAATATCATGTACCTTTTGAGTTGTAAGACTTCTGACCCTACAGTAGACATTCTCTTAATTATCCACTAAAGAAGACATCCGTCAGACAGATGAAGTATGGTCACTGGTAGATTTGCTTTCATAGGGGAAGTCTTGCTGATCGGTGTTACCACTGCACTTCCATAGATGTGACAGTGTGATTGTGATAGCTTGGTAAAGTAATGAAGTACACAGTGGTACTCTACAACCCAAGATTAATGGTGATCCAACCAGCTTGTTTTATTACACACATGCGCAGTGCACAGGAAGTACAAGTTATACTGTTTGAGGAGTGACTACTTATGACTATCACAGTAGGGCTGGGACGGGTAACTCGGGTACCCGGGTCAGGTGGGTCCTGAGTAGCACCGGGTACCCACAGGACTAACCGGACTCGTGGTTAGTCACATGATTATATTGTTTAATGGCAAAAATTATCTAGAACTCTATGGTTACACTCTAAGTGATAAATGTTTTCATTTCTTTCTGACTTTGCACACATTCCTTCTGACGTTATATGTTTGCATAATGATAAAACATCAGTCAACTGCAGTGTATGCATGACCAGATCGGATTATATGTGTATCTAAATTTATTTTGACAGGAGTACGGTCAAACTATTCCCAATCGGACATGTCTCTTGAGACCTACAGTGGGATCCCGGGTAGGGTTGGGTAATAGGGGAGGGGTGGGTGTACCCGGGTAGTAAATTACTTAAACCGGTATCACTATCACTTCAATTTCAAAATGCTCTGAGAACTTGAAAAATTATTTAAAATGCCTGTACCGGTACCTTGTTTGGCCCAGGCCCATCCTGTCCACAAGGCTGAGCTTCAGTACCTGTGTACCCTGGATGGTCAATACCTTACTGTGCTCGAGGGTTTCACCATAGTGTTAAGTATCAAATGCCTAGATTTTTCAGCATTCATTTCACTGTGATACAACTGAAAATGAAATACTGTACAAAGTGGCATCAAACCAAAATCACTAACACCCCAATGCCCTGCTACACCAACTCTAAAACGACATAGTATGACCACAGTTATTTTGCCTTTTGAGTATATTATAATGTCTGTGAGACTGTTAAATAAAGGAAATGTTCCTTGGACATCAGGGTGTCACTTTTAATCCTCAGTGAAACTCATTTGTATTGCCAATCAAAATAATATTTTTCAAGTTTCCGTCATCTTCCATGCTCTTGAAAACTGACATTGTATTGAAGAACTGTGATGAGTGTGCCCAATTGTCTTTGTTAGTGGGAACAAATGTGCCTGGGAAACAACTTTTCATGCAGCCTAAGGTATCATGTTTTAAAAATTGAAAGGGATGTTTCATCCAAGGCTAACTTTACCAATATCATTTTCTTTGTACCAGGAGGAGAAGCAGAAAGCCTACAGGCGAGAAAAGAGTAAGAATAGGAAACGGAAGCTGGACCCTGAAGATGAGGAACTCAACACAAATATTGATCCAGATATGGCAGCAGTCATGGGCTTCTCGGGCTTTGGGACATCCAAGAAATGAGAGCGAGTACCATTATTAAGGATATATCTTACAGGATGCTACAAGTAGCATCACAGTGACTGCGTTGTCCGGAGACTTTAGACTCGGAATGACTTGACAACTTATAAGTGCCACTAATATTCATCATCACAATTGTCACAATTGAATAAAACAATAAAACTCAATGACAGTATTCATTCAACATCTTGGTTTATGTTCTGAGTGCTGTGTAAATGTGTTTCTCTCTCAATCCATCATCATCTTATGTATATAACTTTATCATGTGTTTGGTTGTACACAGTTTCATGGACATTGAAATTTGTTATCTTAATAATTTCTTACAAAAGATGTATATTTTTATTTATCGGTCTGCATATTCACTGATTTTTGGAACTTTTTCTTTTGTAGAAGTGTAATTAGATAAGATATGTTTCAGCTGGGGAAGTTCGGTTTGTACTGAAATGTTATTACTACTGTGTTAAGTAAATGACATGAATGAAAATTTTATATTTGGGGATATGATATTGAATTGAAATTAGAAATTTGTTTGCTTTGAGAATAGTGCAATATAATTGATACTGGTACTAAAATGTCTATCATAGACACCTGCAGTACTCAAATAGTATGTAGTGGTGTTTCTGATATGGTTGTTTGTCTAGTGGGCTATGTATATCTGACAGTATTCTAGTCAGTCTGTGGTAAATAAATATACATCAGTTATGTGTCAGCTAGTATTCCATTGACATGTGCTTCTTTACAGAGTGGGAGTACAGATGGTTTAATACTCTCTCAACAATAATCATGTACTTGAAAGTTCCATGCCATAGTGTGTACATTGTATAGCAGATTAAATCTCAGTTTCAAACTTGGCTTGTGTCATTTGTTGTTTTTTTCAAGCTTAGTGTATGAAGAATGGACATTTTCAGACATGGATTCCTAGTTTTAGCTTCTGTGTCCTGTACATGCAGTTCAACAGTAGTCCTTATTCCAGTCTGAGGTCTTCTGCCATTCTGTTGCCGATCACGTGACACAAGACACATTATCTGGCTGGAGACATTTCACCCCGTCTTCACACTGCTTCACTCACGTTCTGGGTCAGTAACCCGCTGGTAATTGGGGGAAGTAGACTTTGTATTCTTCTCAAGATGTCTCCATGACAGATGTAACTATTGGTACATGTAGATCTAGATCACTGGATTAGTAGCCATTACTTTGTCGTTTTGCATGTCCTTTGTCATCATCTTCCCGAGGCAAGGGAGTTAACTGACTATGAAAGTCCAGTTTCCATCCTTGCCTAACTAGGCTGGAATCATACAGAGTTACAATTTGGCTGGACTAATGAGTCTATGCAAAGTCCAATAAAAATGCGCGTAACGAACTAGACATCCGGTTGGTAAACCACATGGATATCAAAGTGCAGATTTTGGTCGACAACGGGATTTGCAAGCATGTTACAGACAACTGGGCATCAACAGATAGTTTGCAAATCTTTTCATGTTTTTAATCAAGATGCTCAAGTGATTTGATGAAGTTCGAGGGATAAGACCCGTTTTATTACAATATAGATCTTGATTAGCGATCAGATTGTCTTGACTGGGCACGTCACTTTGAATCAAATGCAAATGATATGATAGGTGGAATCTGATTCGTCAATAGGAAGGACATAGAAGGGAAATTCCAGCCTGCTTCAGCAAGAGTGGAAACTGGACTTTTATAGTCAGTTAACTCCCTTGCCTCGGAAAGATGTTTGTCATGTGGTCTGGAGCAGAATATCCAGTGTTGATATGGCTTGTTCACAGTTTTTCAACAATAAAATTATTCTCTAATGGATGCTAAATTGAGTCACAATTTTACAGCCAAATGATCTATCTAATAATTGTTATTCAATTACAATGAAAGGTTTGTTGATGTTAACTGGTCAGATTAGCCACTTCCCCAGTTTTTGTTTATTTATCTGTTTGTTGTTGAACGCTACACTCAGCAATGTTCCAGTTATATGACGGCGGACTATAAATAATCAAGTCTGGACCAGACAAACCAGTGACTGACGTCATGAGCATCGATCTACGCAATTGGGATATGATGACATGCATCAACCAAATCAGCAAGCCTGACCACCTGATCCTTAGTCGCTCTTATGACAAGCAAGGGTTGCTGAAGACCTATTCTAACACGGATCTTCACGGGTATGTTCCCTAGTACCCCTTGCTTGTTGTAAGAGCTGATTGGAAGGGGATTGGGTGGTCATATGTTGAGATTTGACTGATTGCGTGACACATTACTCCCACACCGTGGTTTGTTATTCATGCTATCAACCACTGGTTTGCCTGGTCCAGACTCAGTTGATAAAGAAGCTGTGATGTAGCTCGAATATTGTGGCCTGCAGCAAAACATATTCACCCACACCCTCGTTTTGTTTGTGATAGCATCAAATCTGTATATTCCAGCCCTAGCTGGACCATAGGAAACAAAGTTCTTATTAATATAATGAAGTTTTATGTCTTTTTCACTTTCACACACCCCCTTTACATTATATATGACATGAACACTTGTCATGGTGTAACAGTGAGGGAGTATTTCATCCAGACGGCATTACGAAGTCAAGGCAACAAAAGATGGTGCTCGCAAAACTTGCTGTTATTGAAAAATTTATCAAACCTCTGTCACATAGGAGCATGTATTACCAAATCTGGCTTCATTATTAAAACAGAATCAAAATAATATCAGCTCCTCAACAACATAATTTATTTGTGCGATCAATATGCAACGAAACAACATATCATAAAAACGATCAACAAAAACTTCAAACATCAACAAGTGTCCTGTGTTCAACATGATAACATTAGTTTCACCATGAACGAAGCTGATTAAATTGGTATGAAATTTAAAAGCTTGATTTAAAGGATTCATAACAACAGAGTACCGTAACATTTTCTGTAAACAAAATAGAAAAATACAATCCACAAACATTTAACTATGGTACAAATATACAAGACCACTTTCACACAGTATATATTCCTTTTATACGAAGAGATAGGTAAACATTTAATTGCTTCATGTATGTAAAAGAATACATCTATTAATGTTTAATTCTATTACATGTCCTTAACAAATATTATATCTGAACCAATTCATCCTTTAAAGATAGAACAGCAATGCACACATTGACCAAGATTGGTTTTTTTTGTCTACGTGTAAAGGCATTTCCTCCAACAATGAAAAGTGTATCTACAGTAGTAACTAATTAAATGCTACACGAGGATTTGCAGTTAAATGTAACAGTGTTGCCATTTTCTGATCACATTTTCTTATTTATTGTAAAAACATAAGGAATATCAGAGACATCAGATGTTGGTCGCCTACATGCCAAATCAATTGTTTTGTAAAATGAACATAGAGATTAACAAATCCTAATGAACAGGCAACAATGAACACTTGATGCATTTGAGACATTCTGGAACAACAGAAAAATTATTAAAAACAGCTATTTCTTTGAATCAATACTGAAGAGCATATCATGTTTCCTCAATATCTAAGTTTTATATATCTAGGTGATTATTTCATTCAATATTCCTTAAAACTCAAGGACAACATGATTAGAAAAACATAAGTGTGTTTCTGGTTCAGTGGAATATATCCTGGTCTCCAAACATGTCATCAAAGTTGCTTCTTCCCGGCATACTGTTGCTCCTAACATGTCTGAAATTAGAACATACATATATGTTATTGTTCTTGGGCAAGTAATCTGTCAAAATCAATTAATAGACACAATATTTTTCAGTTAGTGCACCTGATTGTGTAACCATATACATGGTACATGATAAGCCTAGGACTGGACAATCTGCTTTTCTGATCACAAATCTGTAATTTCACAAACCTGCATACCTTCAACCTCAACAATAAAGGGCTTAATATGTACTACAATTACACAAGCAAATTTCTATATATGCAAATTTGCATACAATGACACAAGCAAATGAATGACATATTCTGTATCAATACCAGTTTGAAGATATTTCAGTTTAGTTTTTTCAAGACATCTTCTACATTTTGCACAAACACCAGAGTGGGTCAGTTTGGGATGCAAGGTATCTCTGCGCCTGATTCTCCATGCTGTAGTGTTACTGTTTTAACACAGGAGACCTTAACATAGTAAGGGTCAGTAGGGTAACCATGTTGTTAATATGTTCACTAGTCACGCCTAAAACCTGGTTCTCCACAATGTTTGAAGCCCATTTCTGGTGTCCCCTTCCATGATATTGTTGAAGTAGCAAACGCCATACCAGACTTGATTTGATTTTTTATTATTTATTTTGACCTCTAACCATGTGGTTAAGGGGAAAAGGTGTGTGATTTAATTAATAAACAGGAATATCTAGAGATGCCAGTAAGCATCACCTCCTTGCTGAGGACTTGTGTATGTCCCGCGGCGGCAGTGACGTATCCTGGAACATGCTGCACAGTGTGTATTCCTTGGCTCCCTTCTGTCCCTGCAACAGACACGACACAACTCTTACCAATCTCAATATTTTGTATGAGGTAAAAAATATACTTGTGTTTCCTGAAACCTGACCAACCCATCATGTCACTGCAGTGGGTTCAATGTTATTTGAATGTAGGGGGCCTATTTGATTTGTAACATTAGTGTCAAGGAATGAACACTGCAATATGATCCTGAAAAGTACGGCAATAGACCTTTTTGGCCCACTGGTAATGTCAAATCTTAAAGTTCTGAAATAACAAAGTACCTAAGTGTTGCTAAAATTAGTGAAAAAGGATGATTTCAAAATCTAACTATGAGAAAGTCTGTGATACAAGATGAATTTTTATCATAAAATTTTTATTGCATCTTCTAAGAAACTCAGCTTGAGTCAAAGATTTGCTCATGTTCAAATATTTAAAAAAAAGCTTCCCATCAAACCTTTAGTAAATAGAATCAGGCTTTTTCTTTTTCCACATTTTAGCATTAACCTACCCGGTACACATAAAAATACATTTGACATGTTTCCAGATAAAATGTTACAACAAAAGGTTTTTTTTAGCTTGATATAAAATTGCCAGAAGTGACTAACTGAGAAATGTTGGAACAGTTCCACCAGTCTGGGTCAAAACCTTTTAATCTACTCACTCAAACCTGGCTCTCAAATAAGCATTTTATGCAATAGCTTTTAGTGTTATAATAATAATATGAACTATTATCAGAGGAGATTACTTGACCAAACAGAATCTTTGTCTTGCCTACAAATTCTGCAGTGTATCTACAGTATGTATCACACCAAGAAAGCCAAGATTGCCTACTCGGTTGCTGTATCTGAGAGCTGACTTGGAGGTGGAAGGAAACGTCTGTGCCTCGAGAGGCTGTTTCACATCACAGGCTCTCCGAGTCCTTAACTGTGACGGGAAAGGCTGATCACACTCTTTGACAGATGATGCTGTAGACAGGCTTGAGAGCTGAAGAAAAGAGTATTTAAGTATTAAGTTCATGTGTGGGAATTCTCTGGTAGAAATGGTTCCTAGTACAACATGCTTGTCTAATGAAGTCTGCTGGTATTTTTTGTGTTCACTACATTGAACTGCTGTGTATCTGGAATCTGTTGACAACATATTTTAATTTTTTATAAGGTCAATACAAAGTCTTTCTAAGGCCAATACAAAGACTTTCTAAGGTCAATACAAGGTCTGTCTTAGGCCAATACCAAGTGGTACAACTGAAAATCATAGACTTAACATTAAGTCATCAAAGATATGGCTTAATATACCCCCCACCTAAAGTTAACAGTTGATTAAGGCATAAGTGAATGGGAGTAATTCTGCAACGATCTTATGAATATGACGTCACTACATTGTAACAATGTTGTGTGACATCAGGAATAGCACTGATGCTATCAATGAAACGTCACTGCATGTTATGAATTAAGTGACATTCACAGTGTTTGAAATTAAGGGGGAGTGCTGGGGCCCTTGAGAATTGCTGCTATAGTATTTAGATCTTGGGACTTCATAAGTCTTTTAAACTTTAAACTTTGGTGTTAGTCTTTTTAACTAACAGTGTCCAAACAACAAACATGTAACTGAAGAGTTATGTACTACTACTGAATTTAGCATGAATTATGGCATGAATTTATCAGCCAATATGAATTTATCAAGATAATAAAAGGAACATATCAAAGCAATCGGTGCCACATTAAAGATATACTTCAAGCAAGTGGAAATTTGTTTTTTAAAAGTATCTTTCTGTTCAGTGATGAGAATAACAATGTTTTTACTATGGTAAGGCCCTCCCCCCAAACATATGTTTCTGGTTTCAAGACCAACTCTAATCTTAAGTCCCTCACCCTAAACCTAAAGATTTTTTCAAATTCCATTATACTTTTATAGATTTATCCCCTTCCTGGTAATGTCTGAGTTATACATTACTTTTAATTCTCACTAGTCCACAAAAGAAGATCTCCCAAAAATCTGCCATCTTCTAATGAGAAAAGTTGTAGTCACTTTTTTCGGAACTTTAGCAGTCTCGGATGAGCAGACTTATGTTGATTTCACACCCTGATTGACCGTATTTTAAGCCCTAAGCATTCATTTATCATGTTTCACAATCAATTAACCAGTCACTTCAGAGAAAAAGAGTAAAATGACCTACCTCCCCCATTTTTGTAAGTGCCAAAATAGGAAACACAATATCATACCTCCGTAATGCCAGAGAGAGTTGGAGACAGTAGTTTTGGAGATGTATCACCAATGTCAAGAACACTTGGCAAAGTGAGCTGTTTCATCTTCTGTAGAAATTTCATAAGTGTAGGGTTTCCATCTATATTTGCAGTGGTGCCCTGGTAGCACAGATCGTCAGTCCCACCGCCACTGAGACTACTGCTTCCTTCAGAAATTATAGGTGACACAGGTTTCTCCACAACAAAGTCATTACACAATGACAACATTTTATGCTTCAACTGAGACTCTGAATTCAACATGTCCTCTTCTTTATCTCTGTTCTTCCTAGACTCTTTCTTCTGTTGATTTTCAGTTTCCTTTGGGCTGGATTTCATATCAGCAACTTCATCAAAGTCACTGCAATAGCTCAAATTTCTTTGTTTCTTTCTTGACTTCTTCGTCTTAAAATCTGGCTGCCGTTTCTTTGCTTTACAGTTTCCGTGTGTTCTGCTTGATCTTTTGGTTGATTTTAAGACATTTTTTTCAGTGTCTTTGTTGTCAAGCACTCTATCTATTTTCCCAAACTTTAAATCCTTCTCGTCTTGGAAGTCACTTTCATCATTGTTAACAAATTCATTCTCACTCTCTTCAGACAACTCGGCTTCATCAACCGTATCATCAAAATCACCTACAGGTCCTACAAGCAAACCTCTTTTATTCCTGATGAAATTCCCTGAAGCACAAGCTCCTGCATCTGTCATCATTGGGCCTACCAAACTTCCTTTTCTCCCAGTGACAATACCATCATCCTCATCTTTAGACCTTCTACCTCTCTCTTCAGCCTTTTTATCAGATTTCTTCTTGGGTGTCCTTTTCCTCCCACTAGATTGTTTGGAATAAGTTGTCGCTGCCCACACCTTATTTCCAAATACATCTAATGATAAGTTATTAGTGTTGCTTGAATTTTCTTTTTCGGTCTTGTTCAACATTTTCAGTTTTGATGCTTTACCTTGTTTAGCAGACCTCCTCCGGTTATCTGGTCTCTCTGTCCTTGTTTCCGATGACCGTCTCTTCCGAGGAGCTTTACCAATCTCTTGCAGAAGTAACTTTCCAATTTCCGGTGTTGTGAACAATTCATCGTCTATGTTTTCTTGAAAAACTAGACCCTCTGTGTCATTGGGCTGTAATTTTGTGTCACAATTTTCCATTATGTGGTCCTTTTCACATTCACTGTTCCTCTCAGTTGTGTCTTGATCTTCAGAGAATAAATTGCTTATGCTGGTGTATTCTGAGTTCATCGTGTTCTTGACACTTTTCTTTGTCTTTCCTTCGACTTTCTTTGAATCTGGACTCTGCTTTGAAAGATTTCTGTTATTGGGTGAAAAACTGACACGTGACACTCTCTTGCTTCCCTTTGTTGGCTTCTTCTTTTCACTAAAATATAAAATAATTCATTCAACCAATTTTTTATTGAAATCAGTGCTCGGTTTTAAAATAAAAAAATCAAGGATTTCAAAACCCTGAAGCTTGAAGAAAAGGAGGTCCCTGATTCAACATCCACTTTTATTATAATGATAAATTCCCTGGACCTATTCTCCACAATAGCTTGTATCGAAAGTGACACCATCACCTCCAGCATTTCTATCTCATGCTGAGCACAGAATTACTCTCATTTCTCTTGCTATATGTTTACTTTCTTTTTTAACTGGCCTAAGGTTGCAATTTGTGTCAACTAAATAAACAGTTTCAAAGCTAAATATGTTAAAGCATTAATTCCTAATAGAGAAAACTTTTTTACTGACCTGCCGGATGCTGGCAATCAGTAGCACTGAAAATATCTCTTTATATTTATCATGTATCACTTTCTGTCAATAAACAGACTAACTAGGATATTCACATCACTGCACAACTTTGTGACAAAGTATCACTGATAATCCGGCAGGGATAGACACAGCTACTAGTCTGCTAGTCTAAGACTAGTGAAGATCTAAAAGGTCTAGTTGTGTTCTCATAATACATAGTTATTTTACATAGCCTCTGGTCTGTTATATGATGTGGCATATTTAGATATGACCAATCGGATACAATGGTGTCAACTCCTGCTTCAAGTTAATCGTTACCGCCCTATCAACATGATCATAAAATTCCAGTCTTTGCCAAAAACATTTTAATCTACCAGCTCGAACCTGTCACTAGACATGTTTTTCAGAAGATCTTACAGTTAATCTATGGACATTTAAAGGCAAAACCTGGGATCAAAAGACATTTTACAAGACTCGCTATAGTGGCAAAAGTCATCGACTGAAGTACAGGTGCCCCATTGCATGCTTACCTGCTTTCACATTTCAGTATGCCTGGTTGTTTGCATGGTGTTGGATCGATGACTGTAGGTATTCCATAAGGTAGACTATACCTTGTCCCATCATAGGTTTTCTTTAGTCCAGTTTGGTCTGAGAGTCGCCTCTGCTTAGGATTGTTTAGCCAATCCACAACTTTTGCCTTGCTTGCAACAGATTTGGATAGCACAATAGCATTTCCACAAAAATCGTTTTTGTACGGAACATGCTTACTATCCTTTAACAATTCTAATTGTCCATCTTTCTTGGACAATAGTGACTGTGATGACTTAGTTGGGATTTCTTTACATGCAGGTTTTTTAGTTGGTGTTGTATAAAGGACAGCTTTAGTGTAGTTCTGTTTCAAGTCTTTTTCCATATGATTCCATCTGTCTTTAATTTTCAGATAGATTTGCTCCTGGGTTAAAAAAGGATACAGGATACCAAGGCGAACTTTTTCTTTCTGGGCATAAACTTGAAAACTTGCAACTCTTTGAAGTTTAAATGGTTTAGTATCTGGAACATCAAAAGAGTCAAGGGACTTGGATCTTTTTCTGAACGCTGACATTGTTGATAGCCGTCTCTAAAAATCTGAAAATATAAAGATCATTTATAATATAATTATGCTACTGAATATTTGTCAATCACTTTATTGTGTTACTTTCTCTTCGATAGGCCAACTCAGCTGTCACAGAGATTCAAATCGGTTCATTATCCCACTAGATCTAGATTGTCATCTCAAGCATCCTACAGATATTAGTAGTTAGGCGTAATATTTCGTAAAGATAGGCCTAGCCTACAAAAATCTCCTGTCAGAAATCCAAAAATTGCAAGTGTAAACAAGAAAAGAGACTAAATGTCAGCCTTTTGAATAAGTCTGAAAACATTCATACCAATATATTTCGAAGTAATCCGCAACCTTATTATAAGACATTTTCAGTAGGCCAGTAAACTGGGATCCGTGGTTAGTCAGGTGATTATGTTGTTTAATGGCAAAAATTATCTAGAACTCTATTGTTACACTATAAGTGACAAATGTTCACATTTCTTTCTGACTATGCACAGATTCCTTTGGACTTTTATGTTTGCATGAGGATAAAACTTCCATCAACTTCAGTGTATGCGTGACCAGATTGGTCTAAATACATTTTCACAGGAGTATGGTCAAACGTTTCCCAATCGGACATTTTGTACCTGTCTCCTACAGGGTCGGGTAATAGGGGATTAGGTACCCAGGTAGTAAATTTGGACTCGTCCCAGCCCTAATAGATATCTTGTGTTTAAACTTCAAATTTTAAAAAGTTCCTCAATTTACTGTCCACTAGACTAACACGCGAAGAAATAAATACATTCAAGGCGAAATAACTCTGTAACCTACTAAATATTATAGCTCTAGTCAAATTTGCCGCCACTCCAATATTTCTTAGCAGAAGGCATTTTCTACTTCTCGCAGGTTCCCTTCGTGAGCGAGATTTATCACGATACATGTGATGTACGACTAGTTATATTAATAATGTATTCAAACATTTCATATTTTACTAACCGTGCATCTCCGCATAAAATAATACCAAAACATTTACATGAAATTGCAATGTTTAATGTCAATCAGTTTGAAACGTATAATATTTCAAAACGTAAATACATCGAATGCCCGCACACGGGACTAACATTAGTTGCTACGAAAAGAGTTTACCCAATGACTGAATAGTTGCTACAAAACAAGCGGGTTGACATGAAGTGCTGAGTCGGATACGCTGAGCGGATTACCATGCTGTTTTGATCTAGCTCCAGCACACGTTGATATGGATATGGACCAGGATTTAGAAGAACTAAAGGGAGATGTAGATTTTGATTTCTTCGACTCGCCGGGAAAAGAAAGATCACCATCTCCTCAAGACAAGAAGACTTCGGAGAAAATAAGGTCTAAACCGCCACCAGCACCAAAGTCACCTAAACCAGACTCACCAGTAGATATTGGAGAATACGAAAATAAACGAACGTCAAACTCAAGGAGTGATGGGCCTCGAGAAGGGAAGGCATCACTCTTCGAAGTAATCAAACAAGAGGATGAGGATATATACTCTTCTGATTCTGATCATACCAGTTCACAATCGGACAGTTCTTCGTTTAGTGATGTGTCAAGTGTAAGATCCGGGGGTAGAGCGAGAAATCGTTCAAGATCTTCAAGTAAGACTCGTTCCCCATCGACAAGCCCAGACCAACGAAATACCAGGTCTAAAATCACACGTAAGGAGCATTCACGTAGTGACAGAGACAATAGGAAAACAAGATCACGTTCAGAAAGTGTCTCCAGTCAGTCAGCTAGTGAAAGTGGCAGTGGCAGTGAGAGTACATCAGACTTTTCTGATAGAAGCCCCAGTCCAACTCCAAGAAATAAACATGAGAAAAAGTATAAAGACATTTCCCAAAATCCTGTTCATAAGGTTGAAGAAAGACCACGAGTAGCAAGAATGAGACCTGTTTCAGCACATCCAAGTAAAAAGCAAGGTGGTTCTAAGCATCAAGCATGGGGTGCTGGTAATAAAAATAATAGTTTCAGAAACAGTGATTCGAGCCATAAGAATAAATCAAGATATAGAAATGAAGATAGTGACAGGTCAGGATCTGATTCTGAAAGTGACATGACGGACGTTTCTCCATTGACATCACCAAGGAACAGCCCACACAAGAAGAGGTATGATCTCCAAAATGGATCTCATAAAAAAACTGTGCAATACTGTGGTATACCACCAGATCTGGAGAATTCCAGTTATTCTATTAGACCAGGCGAGGCTGAGACACTGGATCTTAATATTCTGATGAAAGCTGTTTCAGAATTGGAGAAAAAGAAGCGTGTGAAGGATAATACAAGACGTGTCATGTTTGCACCACCAAAGGCTCATGACCGTGGCAATTATACTTTCACTGATGACCGAACTAAATTGATTGAAAGAGAAAACCAGAGGTTGTTACGTGAAATAATGAAGCATGTAGCAGAACAGAGAGCACCACACCAAATGAAACGAGCAGAACCAACCCCAGTCAGAAGAGTGACTGCGTCAGCCATTAACCGACAGAGACAACAGAAAACGATTGAATCAGAAAATATGGTAAGAATCTATTCATCTAGACTCAACACAATTTCTCTTAATCCAGAAATGTCATTGATAGAATGACATATCAATTCAATATCAGGGATACAAGGACTGGTCTGGTCTGGGCTAGCATTTATAAAACTGGCATAAGTCCAGACTAGTACAAGCAGACCCACACACCTGCATACACATCGCTATATAACTTATAATTGCAATAACCTTGAATGAGGTGTTAAGCCGCATTTGATGTCACATGTACTGTATCAATGCACAAAAGTGGAATATTAATATCATCTATAAAACTGGTTATATGAACCCTTGAATGTTTGTTTTTTTATGTTCCAATGGTACTGTTGTAAAGGTTTGATCAACAAGGCTGTGAAATGAGGTCACACAATTGATCATGTACTGGTTGAAAAATTGCAAATTGTTTGGTTTAGTTTCCAGCCAAGGAAGTTATCATGAAATATGTTAATCAGGTCAAATGTGTTAGTTCATTTTAATGTATTTCAGTGTTAAAAGTAAAAAGAGCATCCTGGGGTCTTAAGGTTTGCTTCTATGGTATTTAAATCTCAAGATGCCTCCTCCCCTCTCCATTTCCCATTTAATTAACATTAGGGTTAGGACAAGGTCCCCTTGATTTTCATCATGGTCATGCTGAATCTCTAACATTGCAAGTGCTTGGGGAAAAATTATGCTTGCAATGATACTTGTTGTATTTCCTGTTTTTGAAGGCTTCATCTAAATCATAATGAACATTGCCACATAGCATTTTAATGTAATTTTTTTATTTATTCAGTCTGTCACTTCATCAACTCGTCCAAAGCCACTGTTCAGTAAAATTTCTTATGGTCCAATAAGATCAGCTTGTACTAGTCCATATATAAACCCGAATAAATACTACTGAAAATAATGTCAAAATACAAGTTTGGCTGAGTAGACTAAAAATGTTTGGTTCAGACTGTTTATTAGCGTGCATAGTGATTTCAAATTACAAAAATACAGAGAATTAAAACCTTGTACTTGAAGATATGGTGTTTCTTGTCCATGTTGTCCTCATCATGATTGTCAATCAAACACGTTTGTAATTTCTGCATCTTTGGTGCATCAGGTAAGAAAAAACCCAAGGCAAATATCTCAACAACATGTTAAGTTGTAACTGACGAGGTGTACATTTCATCTGGAAATTAACTTGCTTGCTGGCATTTCTCCATCAATATGTACTGTTCTAATCTTGAGGAAAAGACCATCTATTATTCATGAAGACTTGATAGTGTCGGGGGATTCATTTCACTTTACCACTGTCATGCATCAGCCACCTACCATTCACTGCCTGCAGGTTAGACTCTGTTCTAGGTAATAATACCAGGGGGAAGTATGTACATGATGTAAGGAATTCCTGTGATAGTCTTCTTGTTATCTCTGAATACAAGTAGCAAATGCTGGGAAACTAGTGTTCTTATTAGAAACTCCCCCTTAGCAATGTGCCTTATCAGAGAAGCAAATTGGTGTTATGTTACAGGTACCCTGGGGGTTGTGTTTTTAAAGGGAATACTGCTTTCTGAATACTGATAGGCATCCCAAATATCATTGTTCAGTGACAAGGACCTTTGTCAATTCTGCACATTCACAGAAAGCATATTTGATCATATTATTACTGGTTTTACTGGAATTCTTACATTTGTAAAGTACCTGGGTAGCTTTTTTTGGATGGTTTAATGGAATTTACAGGTAGGGCCAGAATAGAAGCGTGTTAAAAGTATCGCTACCTCAAACAAGTTACGGCTAGTTTTTTATACATGGGCTTCCATTTTAACAGATCTGGCAGTTATGAAATATATATCCAAACTATAATACAGTGATGATAATTATCTTACAAATTAGCTACAGTACTTTATACTTACCCTATTAAAGATTGATGTTTTGGCAATTTTAGTGGCACTGCCTCATAAACATTTTTAGTCCTTTAGCATGTGTTTAGTCGTTTTAATGATAACATATAGCAAAAATCTAAATAATGGGAAAATTCTACTAGTCTTATGATACCTCAACTATTGGACAGTTTTGCAAGGACTATAGGACTAGTGCCAATTTCTAACACTGCTCGCGCAAAATAGAACATGGAACCCCTGTCCCTCAAACTTCACTCGATGACATCATCATGAATTACTATTCATCTGATTGGTGCCATTTCCAAACATAGAGACCTGTACTCCCCTATTGTACCACTCTGTATTGCACTTTTTGTAGTTAGTTAGTCACATGTTCTTCATAATACATATTACAACATTTTTGATCTCTTGAATTTATTTAAAAACTGAAGCCAAGAAATTTTTTATATCTATGCAATTATTTGGTGCATTAAAACATCTTTACGTAACCATCCCTTAATAAATATAAGTTCTGTATATTTCTGGCAAGCGAGTAGAAGGTTTCTGATAATATTATGATTTATGATGTGACCGTATGAACTGCTGTTTGTAAATTACGTGTAAGGTTGCTACTGATACGAGCTGAGTAAGCACCCTGTGGGGATTGCAGGTAAGAAATGGTCCACAGCTACCTGTGTTTGTTGTACGAGGCTCTTAATGGATGAGATGGTCAGGCTTGATGACTTGGTTGGTAGCGTGGTGTTGTACCCCGAAGGCGTGAATTGCAATATCATTGTTGCTTACAACATCATATTATCTAGTCCAGACAGGTCGCCATCAGACAGCTGGAATACTGCTTTAGAATGCAGCGTTAAACAATAAACCAAACCATCATGGCCGCAATAACAAAAAATAAAAAAGATATTTTTTTACTTTGAAAATGTCTGGGCACCATGAAAACATGATGGCTGCCAGTTGAAAAGGAAATCTAGCATGACTAGTGCAGTCATATTTTATAAATGGGATGGCCACAAATTGCTGTGTACCTGTCTGAAACTGAAGGTGTGAGATCACCTCAGTTGGGAGAGTGTAGACATGCTGTGTGTGGATGGCACTAAGCCCGGGGCCAGAACCTGTACACACAAACCTCATTAAGTGCTCATCGCTGTGGATCTTAAATGTTTTATTGGAAAGAATCAGGTTTTGTTCCACTGGGAAGTGAAGTAGAAAGAAGAGCATGTTGTTTACCTACAGTTGTTTGTGTATTGTGTTGACTGGATTGACAATGACCGTGTCAGACCATGTGTGTGTTTATTTGTTGCTTGGGTAATGTTATGGTTGATCTGCATATTGTAGGTCATGTTTATTTAATGTACTGTCTGTTTGGTCTAGGAAGCTCAGCTAATAATAATTCATATTATAATGCTGAAATTACTGAAGCGGTGCTGAACGTTTTTGGCACAGGCTGGTACACAGATATTGTAAATGTCTCCTACAGAATTGAGGCTCACTATAGCCACTGACAGTCCTGCACACATACAGGCAGTTGACCACGGTAGCAGGAACAATATGCTTGTTGAGCGTGTTTCACAATATCTCAGTTGTACACACAGCATTCAAGTCGGTGAATTTAGCTTTAATCCCAGGCCTAGTAACTTATTTCTGTCTAGTGTGCTTAGCTAGTGAATTTGACAGCCGTTTTGAGGGGGGCCATACCCAGGTCATTTGGCAGTGCCACCATTGTTTGGTTCCATCCATACCAATTCCCCTTTGTGAAGATCTGGGGTAGAAATAGGTCTTCAGCAACCCATGCTTGCCGCAAAAGGCGACTATGCTTGTCATTAGAAGCAACTAATGGGTTTGGGTGGTCAGGCTCGCTGACTTGGTTGATGCGTGTCATCGTATCCCAATTGCATGGATCGATGCTCATGATGTCAGTCACTGGATTGTCTGGTCCAGACTTGATTATTTGCACACTGCTGTCATATAGCTGGAATATTCTTGAGTGCAACGTTAAACAACAACAACAATGCCACTTTATTGGTCTGCTTACTCAAATCTAGTATCCCTTTAGACTAATTATTCCTTAGATCTGTGTTTCTTTAATGTATGACAACATTTCACATGATTAAACAAAGATGTACTTTCCTAAGACATTGAAAGTAACAATTCAGCATGTTAAATTTCAGGAGGGGTGAGGTTGGGAAGTGGTTCAATTATTACATTAGTATATTATAAGAAGCCGACTTCTGGTGTTCCCTGCTGTGACATTGCTGGGGTATTGCTCAAATCAGCCTAAAATCTGACTCACTTTAAATTTCAGAGCAAAAAAAGCAGTGCCTCAGAATAGTAACCTGTTAGGCTTGTGTAATGATGCTTATGCTGTGATATATTTGGTTGATTTTCTGCATTAGCTTGGCTTGACATGCCACATGCAAGTCCCAACCTTGGAAATACAGACAGACACTAACATGAAAGAACACTGAAGCCTGTTGATAGTTTCTGTCCACCCTTTCCCGGTCCTATTGTTAAAACCTCCTTGAGTACAGGTTGATCACCCCCTCTATTGTGCACTGACTGTATAGAGAATATCACATTACATATTGCATGGATTCCCACACATCCATGATCCCGGCTCACAATGAGGTCCAGTTCTTCTATTCTTAGGATTGAATAGATTTAATTTCCAGGCACATGTACTCCATGTACTCTTGTGTGTAAACTGGGTAAAATGACACAGACAGTAATCCGGGCCCTTCGTGGCCATTGTGGGTGAGTTTCTTGTCAGGCAATGAAGCTGATATTTGTGTGTACAAGGGTCGACGCTAGGACCCCCGATGGAAGCGGGGACATATTATTGATAGGCCCCCAATACCCATTCTTGTCCAAGGGCTGTCTAATAAGGATTGGGTGCACCATGGTCATTGTGTTACCTTGATTGCCCAGATTCGTTGTTTTTAGGCTGCTGTGATAGGGCCAGCGAATGTTTATGACCTGCATAAAATAGCATTCACTCACTTAAAACTTAAACTAGTGGTGTTCAGATTAATTAAAATAATCACATATTGTTCGAAACAATCAAGCAATTGAACACAATTTTTCATAATCAAACACTGACAAATTTGTAATATCTCTCAAGTTCTC